CTCCGCGACAGAGTGCCCCCACACCTCTCTCCCTGCGCAAACAGTACCCGCCGTGTACCCTCTTGATTTGCTTCGTGTTTATCTTGTCATTTTTAAAATTTCCAAAGCCTAAGCATCAGTCATATAGCTTACTTTGCTCACTTCCTAGCGGGGAAGACAGAGGGTGCACCTTGATGAGCGTTTCCAACCTGGTTCGTCCTGTACGTGTACGGTTAACGTGACCCCGACCTTCGCTTCCAGTTCGCACGTCTGCCGCCCTTTCCCTCGTCGTCGCCCGACACCTCGCAGGCAGCCGCACTTTGGTCCCGAGAGCTGGACGTGTCCTCCCCGTCCTCCCTCACTCAGGAGCAAACATGAGACGTGACGTGACGTGTGCGTCGTGTAGTGTGTCACCACTACGTGCGCTGAGCTCAGACCCGCCGCAGTTTTATGCCAGACAAGAGAACGCGCGCGGCACTGTAATCACCTCCCTACGACGACTACAGGGGGCCGGGGGGGTCGCCTCACCGCGGGAACAACTCAGATGTAAAGTATATAATATTCTCATCCCCGCGGAGGATCTCTTTGCTCGTGTCTCGGGCTGCAGCGCGTCACCCCGCGGCCTAGGTCCCGCGTCCCGCGTGTCTGGCCGGTGTGGGGCGCGGGTCGGGCCGCCGGGGCGCCGGTCAAGTTCATGGTGCGGAGCCTGCAGAGCCCTACAGCAACGTCCTGCGCGGCGGTGGTTCACGGCCGCCCCAAACGCCTTGCCGCGCAGTGCGGGGCGGGGCGGGGCGGGGACGAGCGGACCAGGATAAACAGAGTCCACAGTGGGGCGGGAGCCGTGCTGCCCGGCGCTAGAGGATGCACCCCGAGACATCAAACGCAGCGGGGTGGCGCGGCGGCGACCAGCGACGACGCTCCACGGTCAACAAGCGCGTGGCCCGTGGCTATGAAAAATAATAAAAGTCCTACAGTCGGGTAGGAGATCGACGTTTTCAAACGCAACGCTAACCGTTGAAGTGCAGGCTCACCTCCCTATTAGGCACACCAATGCAAAACTTTTTGTTGCAGCTGATGCTGAAGAAGAAAGTCTACAATCTTCTGTAAGATATTCCTCTTGTTCTTTTTATTCGGAAAATACCTCATTCTGCCGCTTCTATAAGGGGTGAACACCGGAAAATCACAAGTACCCTCAAAATCTACGTGCCTTCAAGAAATTTGTTGAGGTCTTTAGTCTTGGTTCCAGCAGGTTCCAGGCTTTCAAATATTCTCGTCCTGGTTTCAGTTTGGAACGCAATCAAGATCTGGTCATAAAGTCAACAATATCAAAAATGTTATTTTTGCCCCCCCCCCTTCTCTCTCTCGATGGCGCTTTGCCACAAACAGCCCCCGGCCAGGAAACGAAGAAGAGAAAGATAATTTCTGAATGGAGGGATACAGAAAGCGATTCTATCGGCGTGACTGCGCGCCCGGCGCCCGGCGGCTCTTTGGGCACCATGGCAGCAGCAGCGGTACACCAAGGGTGACAGGCAAAACAATTCTGCATTTCATAAATAGAAGGGGTTTTATTTCCTGGAGACAGAAGAGGACACTAAACAAGTAGCACGTAACACGTAACAATTCCAATGGTCATAATTTCACCTTATGTTTTTCCCGTTTTCTTTTACAGCTTTTTCCTGAGGACAATACTCCATTGTTTAAAGAATATATTCTGGGGAAATTCTTAGAAATGGTACAAAACGGGAGAATACGTTACAGTACTACTTGAGTAGTCATAGAAATAACATCTTCGTGTGTGGTTGCAAGATAGCAAAAGTCAAGCAATTCTCCAAAATTCAACAAAATGATTAATAAATATAGTCACAAAGAGCAGTGTACTGGTGGCGCCACGCTGTCTGGGGGCGTTGTGTCCGAGACCCGTTCCTCCGGTGTAAGTTTCGTAGCCTAGAGAATTATTATGGTATTGACGTCATTGTCACTTGCTTGAAAACGGAGTCCACTTCGACGAACTCCACACGGAACGAGACGGTGGGCGTACCCAGTCGATAACCTGGGGTCAATGACCCAGCTATGACCGCTGGTAATGCGCTCTCTCAACGCAGGAAAAACGAATGCGTCAAGGGTTTCCTTCCTTTCCAAGGGCATCAAAACTGTCAAAAGCACTTCTTTATAGCATAGCACCCTTCCCTTCGAACTCTTTAGTGCATTATGCAAAAAAACTCCGGATATCTTTAGCACCCCTGCGGAGGTGCGATTTAACATCTTTCTTTGTGAAAAGTGTCATTATTGACGCATCCGTACCGTTGCCATCGGTCATCTGGGAAATACCCCTCGACAGCGGTGCTACTCCACGCTCTACACATGGGGTACGTCTTTCGGTTTCGGTCTTTGTGGTGAAGAGGTGAAGTCATGTATATTAATGAATTTCAGACTGGGTTCTTATAACTAAATTGACTTTAAATCAGTGACGAGTCATTGATTTATTCCGCATTAAACATAGTCCTGGTTCTATGGCAGTACCTACGACACCTTTTGATTCGTGCATTAACATTCCTCCCTATGTTATGTTATTTCAACTTATGAGTTGCAATGCAGTACTGAAATTTTGACAACCCAACTGAAATTTAATATTGACGATGTTTTGAAACTCAGTGAAACGCTATCGCGAACGGTGTAGATGTACACCCCTGCGGCATGATGACCCGGAGGCGCGCAGCGTTCTCTGGTAATCGGCAAACAACAAACTTTTAAAAAAATGCTTTTGCTAGTCGTTTCGCACCGCTGTGATTCTGAAAACCCCTACTTGTATCGCGATGTCACCGCTACGCCACACATCCGGTCCCCTTCTGCTGGAAACAAAGAATCTCCCTCGGCAGTTTACACCACCAAATTTTCTGCTTCGTGTGACTTTTCCCACTCCCTGCCTCTTCACACAAAAAAAATAAAAAAAAAAAGAAGTAAGAAATATCGCGAGTCATTCTTCCCCCTGGTTCGGTCGTGAGGCGACCGGCCAGGCGGCCGTGCAGCAGCCCCTAGCGCCGGTGTGGGCCGCGCGGTGGTGAGCGCCGTGACTCACGCTTGGCGCAGCTTGGCGCCCCTCTCCGTGCCGCCCCGCCCTCACCTGATAGCGCTGGTCCTCCGGGCCGGGCCGGGCGGGCCGGGGTGCCTCGTTACCGAGTGGAGCGCAGAGACGTTGAGTCAGCTCACAAGGAGCCCCGGGGCCTGCCCGCCCCCGCGCCAGGAGGATCAGATTACCTATTGGGGAGATCATTTCTAGACAGTCCTCGAGACTGTCTCTACCAGAAGGAAAAGTCCACCCCTCCGTCCCCGCCCTCTTCCTATACGTAGCACAGGGCAGGCCGCACGGCGGCGGCGGTGGAGGGTGTTGTTGCCTGCAACTGCTTCCAAAAGCTTTGTGAAAATTGACGCCAAAGATGACATTTCCCACTCTCTCGTCAGCTCACAGGACAGGATGCTGTCTATGTTTGTCTGGGCGAATGGGACGGGGTAGCTATTAGGCCCTATGGTTACACGCGCCAACTGTGCAGACGAGATGGTATCTATTGGAGCTGGCCTGGCCGCCTGCACTCAGAGAAAAGGTTTCTTATTGACAAGACAATTCTAATGTATGAAAATTAATTACACCATAGCAATAGGAAGTTGTTTTCGAAGAAAATGTCTTTGATTGATAGAAATTGACTACGAATCAATGCAATTCCCATTGAATATAACCTTTGATATGGTGGAATCAAGTTTTCAATGGAATTTTATTGAATCATTTTCAGAGTGTGTATCCGGGCCGGATCGGCTGAACCATATCACCATATCTTTCCGCCGACACGAGCCGGGCCCTGGCGGAGGTGGCCCCCCTGGCCATCCCCATGGGGAATCCCCGATTCAGCCGGCATAAGTTGTTTTATGGGACGCTGCGGAAGCCCCCATACGGTCGACACGCCACGCGCCCGGTCCCCGCCAGGTGGACGCTCCGCCCGCGCCGTGGGTCAGGCTGGGGACAGCCAATAATTGCCTCGGCAGACTCGCATCCATGACTCAACACAACAGGGCCGAGCGGAGCTGCCGGCGCAGCTCTTATGTAGCGTCGAGATGAGCTTTGTCCGAACACACCTCCTATTTACAGACCGAAAGTCACAAATGCCGTTCGGTCTGAGACGGCAGGCGGCGCAGTCGGTTTGTGCACTGTTCAAAATTACAACAGTAAATCACTACAGAATGGTCTGATAATTTTTTCAACAGTCTGATTCTGTGCCTTATACTGGAGGAAAGTACTTTTCAACATGTTTTCAAACACGGTCAAGTCTTTGTCCCTTTGTACCAGTCGAACAGTTCTGTTTCTGAGTAGGCCTACAGAATTAAGGTATTAAGGTATTAAGTTCCGAACGCGAAAGACATAGTCCGGTTTCCTCGAGATACTGGCGTGTCCACAACTTGCTTACGCCCCTGCGATTTATGCACCGTTACTTCGACTCAAATGTGTCATCAACGACACTGAGGGGACAGTTACCAGGAAATGAGGGAAGGGAGGAGGTTGGAGGGGAGAGCGGCACATTGGCGCCTGCGGAGGGGCGTCTCTAAGGAGGCTGGAGCGGGGCGCGGCCGCCCCCTCCCCGTACAGGTCGGGCCGGGCCGGGCGCCTGCAGGGACACGGGTAGGCCTCCCGCTGCGCACGGCCGCTCGACGGGCGCGCATCCCCGCCGGCCCCGGGCGCTCAAGGCCGGGAGGGCGGAGTCACTGAAGCTGAGATCAACCTCCGATGTTTACCCGGGCCCCGTCTGGTCAACAAACAGAATAATCCCGTTTGTGGTCCACGTCGCGAGCCGGGCGGAGCCGGGCCGCGGGGAGATGCGTGACCGCCAGCTCCGAATGTCTCCTGTGAAAACAGTGTGGCGCGGCGAGCGGCACGTCCCCGCCGCATCCTGGTGGTCAAGGGTGCGGGTGCGGGGTCAGCCCCGCGGCGACCTCCGAGCTATCGTCACATCTCCCGAGCACGCAGCGCCACGCAGCGCCATTTAGGCGGGAGGGGGGCGGTGGATAAACCTGTTGTCGTTGCCCCCCCCCCCTTTCCTTTTGCCCCTCCGCTATGAGCTGCGTCCCGACACAGCTCCATCTCTCTCCCTCTGCTCGGCGCCGCGGCGCTCTTTGAACGGTGTCGCGGCGCCTGGTCCATCCCGCCCGGACCCCCGCCACGCCCGCAGTCCCACGCTCGCTCGGCCGCAGCGCGGTCCACACGCTCCGGCCAGGGCTGCAGGTCGAGGCGGAGGGGAGGACCACGCCAGGAGGACGCCGTCGGCCGCGAGCGTCCTGCCGCGGGGTGGTGCAGCTGCGCGCCCTGCCGAGCCGTCCGGCTGCCGCGACACAAGCCACGCCGCGCGTGCCGCCAGTGCCACCGCCGGGCCCGAGCCGCGGGCTTGTGCCGGGAGCAGCTGAAGCGAGTGCCTCGCCTCCCCGGCACCCTGCCGGTACCGGCCAGGCTGGCGGCCGCCGCTCGCCGCACTGCTCGGCGGGCAGCGCTGTGGACCACCACGCCCCCTCGCAGCATGGCCGCGGCCGCGCTCGCGCTCGCCGCCACGGCGGAGCCGATGAACCTCGCCGCGACCCTCGCCCGCCTCACGCAGCCCACCAAGAAGGCCGACGAGGTGAGTTCAACGCAGACAGCTCAAGTAATTGAAGGCAATTTAATTATCAACCCCTAACACTTTGTCTGGTGGAGTAATTCCAGGCAATTCCGAGCTCGTCTTTAATTCCAAATGTCTATTTTGCAGCGCCTGGTCCCGTACAATGATTCTCTCCCGGAAACGCCGGGGCTGGTCGTCGTCGACGTGTTTGACCTGGAGCACGCCTTTCCCTACATCATGATGGTGTTCGCCATCCTCGAGTACACCATGATGGTGTTGATCGTGGTTGGGAACCTGTTCATCCTGGTGGCTTACGCAGTTGGCAGAATCAGGTACCAAAGTGGTGCAGGCGGATGAGGGTCATGTGGGGCAGTTCATGTGCGCCCCGTCCTCTGCAGCAGTTAGTCAGACCCGCCACAGCCCGCTCTTCTGGTGTCACGTGCGTTGCGTCGCGGACCACGCAATTCACCGCCGAGAGCGTGCTTTGGCTGGAGACTGATGCAGAGGACGGCGTAGACATAGTACCGCGTGTAAGGCCTTCGACACAGCAGTGTTGCGGGTCTGCCCGCCCTACCCTAGGGGGCCATGGCGCCTTACGGGTGGAGCGAGTAGGCAAACGCGCTCACTGCCGTGTCGTGTCGTAGCACTGGTGTAGATCTACTTTTGAAGTGTGTGTGTAGTGTGTGCCCTGCTGGGCCGGGGCACACGGTACGTAGTTTATATTTCACAAACCTGGTCAACTTGCACGCACAAAAAAATAATGACGGTCTGAACCGTCGCACGTGAAGTTTTGTGGTTCCATTACCCTTCCCCTAGACAACTTTTGCCCCCACCCCTCCTTCCCCATCCCTCCCACTTACGTCCAATTATTGCTATTTAGTGGCCACATACAAAGTCGGTCCGGTCACGCCATTTACTCCGGTCCGGACGTTGTCGTGATGCTTGGTACCATTGTGTGTGCGACCGCCTAGACTCTTCCGGGGATTTACCCACTGCGATCCCCACGTCGCTGGAGATCGTGACAAACTCAATCCGACAGAGCATTTAGTGAACGTTCGTTTTCCCCATTGTCTCGCACTTGAGCATTGGTAGGGTGAAACTTGTTCACTAACGGGCGCGGCAGATTTGAAAGGGATGGCGGAAGTGAATCACGTCCCCTGCCTCTAACGCTACGCGTTTCCCTCCTCCGCAGGGGCAAGAACAGCAGCATGCGCCTGCCCTCCTCGGGCCGGCTCGTGCTGAACCTGGCGCTGGCCGACCTGCTGGTGGGCGTGGGCCTCATCTACTTCTCCCTCTTCAAGTTCTGGCCCGAGATGGCCGCCCAGCTCGCCAAGTACCGGCTGCCCTGCGTGCTGCGCTTCTCCGTCTGCTTCCTGACCATGTTCGGGTCGCACTGCGCGCTGCTCGTGGTGGCCATGGACCGCTACACCGCCATCGTGCACACGCTGCACTACAAGGACTACCTGACGACGCGCGTCAGCTGGCTCGTCATCCTGGCGGGCTGGGTGGTGCCCGTGGCCGGGGCCGGCGCCGTGTTCCTCGTCAACGAGTGGCGCCCGGGCGTGCCCTTCTGCGACGAGCACCACATCGTGCCCAACTTCCTCATCATGTTCGCGCTGCCCTCCAACGTGTCCGTGCTGCTGCTCATCTCGCTGACGCACTGGCGCGTGCACCGCGAGGTGCAGGCCTACACGCTGCGCGCCAGCGACCCCAGCTTCGTGGCCTCGACCGCCTCGGCGGCGCGGCGCTCGCACGGCTGCCGCAAGTCGGCCGTGCTGCTGCTGCGCGTCACCACGAGCTTCATCGTGTGCTGGACGCCGCTCGACGTGATGCTCGTGCTGTTCGTCGTGCTCGGGCCGAGACCCTGGGTGCTGGTCGTGTTCGAGGCCGCCTTCTTCCTCGCCATGACCTCCTTCCTGCTCAACCCGTTCGTGTACGCGTGGAAGACGGAGGCCATCCGCCGGCCGCTGATCGCCGCCCTGACCGCGCTGCGAGTGCTGCCCCCGGCGGCCCGCCGAGCCCCACGCGGCCACCCCTACCCGGGCGGCCCGGCCCGGGTGTTCACCATCCCCCACAACAACCGCGCCTCCGTGCTGTCCGTCTCCCACTCGTCAACCTCCGGGGCCGCCAGCGCAGCCAGCGCCAGCTCGGGTGCTACAACGAGCTCCGGTCAGACTGTTCGGACCTCGCTAGGAACGTGAGCACTGCGCAGGGGAACCGACCCCGACGAAAACTGGGGATGCGCACTACGAGGTGGACGATCAGACCTTGTTAAGTGGTAGTAGTCTTAAATGAGTACCTGAAGAAACGCGAGTTTGTTTTTAATTAATTATAACTATTTATTTATACCAAGATATTTATTTTTGCGCTATTGAGTGATAAAATAGTGTTTACAACATAGTAATTTCTTTACAATTTATTGGTTTGGAAGACAAGTTCTTACTACTTACTTTAAGTCTAACATGATTGTGTTCATCAAAACATTAACATTTTTCATGCAAAATGAGAGGAAATGTGAGAAATACAAGACTGAATATATGAACCTATAGGGTACATGATCTGTTTGTAGATAAAATAAAGCTTTATAACATAAATCTAAACATAATGAAACACTTTTCTGAGTCTTTTCTGGCTAAAAGCAGTATGTGATTTTTTTTAAATTTTTTTTTTTAAATATTGTGATGCTGACTGAATGACTGACTAGACATAAGTTGATTCATTATTATATAATGACATCTGTGAAACATATTTATGGCACAAGGTACATGAAAAGTGACATCATTTTCAAAATATTCATTACTTGCAATAGGTAAATTAGATTTAAACATCAGGCATGCATCAGGGCATTTGGTATTTTCAAACACCATCATATCTTCTACAGGCACTGTTTAAAACAAATCCTTTGATACAAAGCAATGTTTTCAGCCAAAATCTACACCTGTGTCAAGCAGCTCTCTAAGCCTCACTGAAACTTCTCGTGGTAACAGCCTGAAAACAAGAAAACCGTGTAACAGAAAGAAAAAGGTAAGTAATCGAAAGGAATTAGGAAAGGCAATTACCTTAACAGATTACCCATAAAGAGCAAGTAGCCTGGTACACTCATTTCTGCATACCCTTGACGTACCCCTACAATTATTTGACGGGCAGCTTCTCTAGGATCTAGGGTACCGAAATAACTTGGAATCCTGATCAAATCAAAGCATAAAATACGTCATATCCATTGACTCTTGTAAAGATTGCAAAATTTTAATCAAATGATTTACCTCAGTCTAATATCTCTTGAATACTCAGGGCTTACAAGAAACGGATAAATGTGTACAAGAGTTACTTGAATCTTTGCATGTCTCTGTGATGTCCGTAGTTCTTGCCGAAGAGATTCAGTAAGACCCTAGAGGTGACAAAACCATACTAAGTCTACAACAAGGCAGATATTCATATTTTAAAAATTCAAAAGGAATTCTCACCTTTACAGCAAATTGAGAAACACTAAGTGGAACCTGATCCTTGATACCAGTTAGGCCAGCCACTGAACTTAGTGCAACAATATGTCCTTTACGCTGTTCCTGCATTTGAGGTAGTAAAGCTTGCAAAATCTAGTGGATATAGGGTTGTAAAAGTACTTTAGTAAAAAGGATAATTTATTTATTGGATTATTGGATGACCTAAATCAAAATCACTTACCCAGAAATGGGACATGACACTTCTGTCTATAGTTGCTCTTATGTCTGGGGGTGGTTGGGCAACAAGAGAGTGTGGGCTTGGCATTCCACAGCAATGAAAAATCATGCTCACAGGCCCGATGTCTCTTTTAAGTTTATCTGCCATTTTAAAAACCTGGAGAAATAGCAAAACTGATAAAATTTCTGAGGTTTGTTTGTGTGAGATTCTTGTTACAGCAGTCTCAGAAGTCCTAAGGATGTTACCTGCTCTCTATTGGTAACATCTACTTGATATGCAATTGCATTTCCTCCATTTTGCGTAATGTCAACTGCTGTCTTTTTGTTACCCATGCTATCTATGTCACAACAGATAATATACGCACCAAGTGCCCCTAATTGAAGAGCTAGCTCTCTTCCCACTCCCCTTGAGGCGCCAACAATCTGGAAACAAAAGTTGGAGGTGAGAACACCAATCTTCAATCACATGTGTATCTAAATCAGCAGGAGGCAAATCATAATCATACCACCGCAATATCATTCTTCACTGATTTCTGCCTTGGAGGACATATAAGATGCCAGCATGCCTCTAGAAATGCAAAATACACCTGAACAAGAAGACACAGTGCATCCCAAGAGAGCACAATAAATGCATATAGTTGAAGAAGCATTGTACACGACACCAATGATGTTCACACCTGTTGACATGACAAAGTGTAACATGAATAAAATGAGTGGATTGCATCACTGCACACATCAAATCACTAAACCCACAAGCAGTGGTCAACCAATTAATTTGGTCAGATCAAAATGAAACTAAAACAATACTTTCGTCAAGTTTGTGATCGTACAATTGTGACTACGTGATGATCGTCTCATCCGGGTCAAAACGAAAGCAATGTCACATGAGCTAAGTGACACGTTGTCAGAAATAAACTTTCTATACTTACGGAATGTAACAATCTATGGGGAAGTAATACACCTTCGAGTTAAAATACTAGACGCCTTTCACAAGCAGGAATTTAAACCCCGGTACTTGTACGGCAATCGCACATGTTGGTAAACACACACATAACAGGTGTGTTGGACGTGCGAATAGTTCGCCAATGTGTATTCGCAGGTCACATATTTTCTCCTCATGAGCCACTTTACACCGAACAGTAAATGTCGCGATGTTTGTGGTGTTGACGTTATATCTGTGATAGTTTCTGTAGAGCTTGGACTCTGAACTCCGAAACAGTGAGATTTCACACATCCAGCGTGTATAGAAAGTTGCTTCAACAGACGTCCCCTTCGTTCAATTTTTCATCTTCGTTGTAGTCTCGCAACAGGAATCATTTTTTTAACATATTGATCTCAAAGTATAGAGACCCATAATCACTTGTTTTTGTTGTTGCGGTAACGTTTCGAGAAAAATTCCACTTAGGTTATACTGATTGTAATTTCCTCGCTTGTGAGTAGTTTTATTTTGTGTTATCTCGCTGGAATTGTTAAAAAGAAAGCTGCACGATGCTCTTATTCTCCTGAGCTTATTCCGCTGACGTGTTTCCGCACTGTAACCTGTCGAGTTCATTTCAGTAAACAACAGTTGGCTTTCACTCAGTCCAAATTTACTTATTCCAATTTTAAGAATTCAATTTTTATTTTTCTCCTCCAATCGGTTTGGTCTTTTTTTCCCAGCTGCACGGCATTAATGTTTCTAACCTGTTAATCTGTTTTCTTGCAGGTTTTAATTCTGATCTGATAATTGTACTTGCCATTCAATTTTGCAATCTGTAAAATGAAGGAACATAAACATAAAAAGCATAGGCGAGGTTCCCGTGAGAGAGACTCCCCTGAAGTACCAAGGAAAATTCCTAAACGGGAACCCTCTGAATCAAGAGACGCCCATGAGCGACATGAAAGGAAAAGGCAGCACCATGACAAACATGACAGACACCGTAACCCAGAGGTTTCAAGGACAGATTCGTCAAGAAATCGTGAAGATAGAGATCGAAATAGAGACAGAGATAGGGAGAGAGATCGAGAAAGAGGTCATGAAAGGAGGAAAGACTCAGACTATGACAGAGATCGCAAACCTCTTAACAATATTAGAATAAAAGAAGAAGTTGACAGTGATGATGGCCGTGATAGAGATGGACCCTCATCGTCAAGGTGGGATGAAGATGGCGATAAAAATAGATTCAGGAACAACAGGTAATTTTTTCTTTCTTCCTGGAACTTTTTTTATTGTATGTAACTATCAAGCACAGTTATGACAACCTTTTTCCAAATTTTCAACAGAGACCATGAGAGAAGTAGGAATCCCACTGACCGAGGTTTTGATAAACCAAGAGGGTAATTTATCTCACTTTTCTCATTGATGGTTTCTGATTTTAAAGACTAACAGAACAGAAACATTATCTGTTTTTTTATGTTGCAGACTCAGACCAGACTTTGATGAGCACAGGGGTGGTGGAGACAGAGGAGGAAGAGGTGGCAGAGGTGGTCGCGGAGGCAGGGGTGGCAGAGGAGGTAGAGGAGGCAGAGGAGGTGGACCTGGGAGATCAAGGTTTCCTAAAGACGAGGAAGACACCAGTAATATGGAATGGGGCAAGAAAAGTGATCAGTCAGGGAATAAACCTCTTCCTCCTGAAGAGAGAGACAAGCCAAATTTTGGTCTTTCGGGAAAATTGACCGAAGACACAAACACATATAAAGGTGTTGTTATCAAGTACAGTGAGCCTCCTGAAGCTAGAGTTCCTAAAAGACGCTGGCGTTTGTACCCTTTTAAAGGGGAAGAGGCATTGAAAGTTCTGTACATACATAGGGCAAGTGCTTTCTTGATGGGGCGTGAACGAAAGATTGTTGACATTCCATTGGACCATCCCTCTTGTTCTAAGCAGCATGCTGCAATTCAGTTCCGGCTAGTTCATTATACAAGAGATAATGGTTCTGAAGGAAAGAGAATACGACCTTATCTCATAGATTTGGATTCTGCTAATGGAACTTTTGTAAATAATAACAAAATTGAACCAAGGAAGTATGTAGAACTCCTTGAAAGGGATGTTCTCAAGTTTGGCTTCAGTACAAGAGAGTTTGTCTTACTACATGAACACAGTAAGGATGAGGAAGAAGATGACAATTTTGTAGAGTAGTGCATTGTGTTATCAACCTCAGCTACATTTGATTGTTTTATTTTCATATTCTTTTTGCAAACAGTTCAACAGATTACTTTGACAAAATACACGCTTAAGAGAACACTTTTATTGGGATTATTTCATCTTCTGCTCCCATCAATATAATAATACAATTTTTCACACATCACACTGAGCAAATGTCTAAGCATTGCTATTACTTGTTCCATCATCTTCCAATGAACACACATGAGTTCTTAATGATATCTTTTTAGCCCATTTCTTATTACATGTGATGCACTCAAAGGGTTTTTCTCCAGTATGAATACGGTAGTGGGCTCGAAGGTTGCTGCTGCTTGTGAATGACTTTTCACAAACATCACATTCGAATGGTTTCTCACCATTATGAATCCTTAAGTGACTTTTGAGGGTACCACCAGCTGTAAATCTCTTTTGACATATGGGGCATACCCATTTTTCTGTACTGTGAGAGTATCGGTGTACCCTTAGTTTTTGTCTTGTTTCATAAACCTTTTCACATTGGTCACATGGATGAGGTCCAACATCATCAACAAAAGCATCACTTCTTTTCTTTCTGGGTGCCTTAGGCTTTGGTTCTTTATACACGTGATGTCTCTCAAAGTGATGTTTCAGAGTAGCACTCTGGGTAAACCTTTGATTGCATTCTGAACATTCATACGGCCTCACTCCAGTGTGAATTCGAACATGCGCTATCAAAGTGCTCTTTAATGAAAAAGCTTTGAGGCAAACAGCACATGTGTATGGCTTTTCAGAAGTATGGCTCCGAATATGTGCTGTCATATGACCACTCTTGGTAAACTTCTTCCCACAATACTTGCATTCAAATTTCTTTTTTTCTGAATCACTAGGGTCTTGAACAGGATCTTTCACACTAGATTGGGTTTCGGACACTGATCTCTCTGACTCCTCGACAACTGCTCCTTCACCTTTTTCTTCAAGGGGATCAGATTCACTTTCAGCGACTGCTTCCTCTTCAGAACTAAATGCTGAAGATTCAGTCAAGTGAATTGAGAATAGCTCCTCCATCTGATAAACAAAGATGTGAACAAAATTATATTACTTTGATCATGAACTGTCATATTTTGACAAAATGTCATAACTGTAAAACAGTAATAGCTAACCTTACCTGAAACCCACTTTTAAAGAGTAAAATATATAATTTATTTATTAAAAATGCGAGGATTTGATACAAAACAGGGAATGCAAAATTAACTCTCGTTGGAATTTGACGGCAGAAACACACAAATTATTCCATTTCAGCTTGATTTGTTGTTTTCTGCTAGTGCAATGTTACTTGTTTTGGACAGACCACAACCTCCAGTTTTGCCAACATAGAGATCACTTCACCCCACTAAATAAAAATATAAGAATGCGCTCGCTTGTGAAAAAACATTTCCTTGCCACAAGTTTGGATCTATTTTTAGAACATAAGGGGTCATATATTCCCACTCCCAAACAGATTCCTTGCGGTACTTAAACGCAAAACATTAGTCACCAGAGGGGGAATATCTCTGTGGAGTTCCCTTCCCTTCGATCAGCTGGGCGCCAGCGCCAGGGCTGGGATCTCGCAGAGGGCATGTTTATTTAGTGGACTCACAGAGTGCTTTTTCCACAACAAATTGATGTTTATTTCCTGATTCCTGAATTCAGTCATCAAGTATGAGCAATTATCATGGACAGAATGGAAGTTAAGAGGGACATTTATCAACTATGGCTTCATTATAAGGCAAAGGTGAGATATTACAGAGAGAAATAATTTGCTTTCGTGTACGACAGTAAATGTCATTTTCAAACTTTATCAATGGAGCATTGAACGTTGCCAGTGATTTTTCTCAAATATCTTTCGATTGTTGTTGCCTTAGCTGCACTGTCATAGTTCTGATGCATGTTGAAGTTTGTGGTAACTGCTTAACTTCTTCACAGTGGTTGACAAGTTAGGTTAGTGTTGTTTGTCAGGTGGTTGCGGCGTCTTTAATGCTATTCCATTCGCTTCACGTCGAGTACTTAGTCCTCTAGAATGGAATATTTTAGGCTAAATTGCAGGCGAACCGACAAACTGTCGTTCTGGAATGTGCACTTGGCAAACAGTTTCAAGTGATTCATAACCTGCCAAAACTATTGGACTTCACATCTTGGAGAAATCTTTAATGACTGAAGTTTAAATCGTTTGATGTTTTGAAAGAGTAGATTCAAATGTTGAAAACTAAATACTTCTCTCAAAATTCAGTCATGATTGCCTCTGTAGTCTTTTTATTTAGAAATTAAATCTTTTTTATTTTATTGACAGAATGAAGAAGAATACTTCCGTCTATTTGTTCGTGGATTTGTATCAGTATGGGAGGGACAGCTACCATTGGATTGGTCATCTCTGCCAAATTGGACAGATATTCGACCAGATTCGGGTCCGCATCTTTCTCGTCTCCCTGAAGAGTTACTTCCCACAGTTAGCCAATTTATGCAAGAGGCTCGAAGTGACACAGAAAATGTAAATATGACCATCCTTCTTCCCTGGTATCAAGATTAATTTTCTAATTAATTGACTTACATACATTTATATTTTCAGAGAACATTAAATTGTGAGTCATTATCAGAGGTTGAGCTACTCACTCACCTTCTTACAATTTTAGCCCGTAACTTAGACAACATTCCCTTGATAGCTTCATGTGATTATGTATCTATAAGTATTGGAATAGCAGCTACTGTGATACATCAGGTCAGTAATTTAAGTTAGGACAAATGTATTGTGATGAGGTAGTTCACCATTAACTTCTTTTTTCTATTTACAGCTTGTAGAAGAGAGTGCTCATTTTGGGGAAGCTGGTGTTTCTTTCTTTACAAGTGTATGTCACCTTTTGGAGGTGCTATACGACCCTTACTTTACTTGGCACCACTTTTTGCGTGGCAATGAGGCTGACTTTGAGAAGATTGCATTTCAACCCGCCCTTCTTCATGTTGAAGTTGTCCCCTTTATTTATGGTGTGTCATAGGAAATAAGATTATGAGATTTTATATTCTGATTCAGTGCATTACATTTATTTTCAATTTTCTTCCAGATTGTTTTGAAACCAATTTAATTGAGAGTTACCCACATCTGGGCTCTCAACTTATTCATGTCCTGGGAGCTGTTGTTTCGGGAGCTCAGGTATTCATTTTTGTTGATGATTTGTGTGTGGAAAATTGTGTGTACTTTTCCCAGCCAATGCTCATTTAATGTATTAACATATATCTATCTATATGTGGGAGACTATCTGGGTAAACTAACACTGTATATACATGTACCCTAAATTGTAGTTAATACTTCTCTCTTCCTTAGTTTATTGTAAATTATATTCATTTGAGCTGATTTCATCGAACATTCTCAGGGTCAAGAATTTATGTACCTTCTCCAGACCTCTATGGTCTTCTTTAAAAATATTTCTCAAATCTTTTACCTGTTATGATTTCATGCATTGCTCTTGCCTCTGCACTTTCTTTGCGTGGTTTATTCTTCTTTTTTGTTCAGTCAAAACACTGCACCAATATGTTTGCACCATTCGTTGGTGGCATTTGATGCACTTTTATTAAAAGCATGGGTGGAATGTTACATTTGTGGGCTTTTTTAATCACACTATCTTCTGCTCTCCTATGCGATTTGAGGTGCCTTGTGGAAACTGTACCTAGCAGATGCACATGCATTCTCTTAGATTTTCTATTTAAAACTTACATATCTAACTACAATTTTCCTCTAATGTGAAAAGATACCCTCTAAAGTGTTGCCATGTAACAAATATTTAAGAAGACACGTCTAGTTTTAAGTTTCTTCCAGAATACTGGCAGTATTCTTTCTAAAAGGTCTTGTGGTGGTTGTAACTAACTTTCGGTGTTGGTTTTTCCTCTAGAGCATAATTGTGCAATTGGATCCTGTTTTCCCTGCACTACCTTCCCTAGCACAGTCAACACTTGTTAAATCAGACAAGGCAAAAAAGAGTCCAGTTTTGGCTAAAGGATTATCAAAAACATCATCTTGTTTTTGCCTTAGTGATGGGGTGAGTCAGTTGAAGGCAGTGAAGTGACATTGCTCCTACATTTGTCACCTGTAGTGCATGTGCATGTTACGTCTTGAGCCTTCAGAAGCTGTTGAAAAAGGTTACTTTTGCTGGAACGTCTTCCATTAGTCTTAATTCTGAGTATATGTGTGGCAGCTTCTTTCGTCCAAAACACCAATGATGAGTGCTTTCGGATCAGGTAAAGTGCACGCTACTGCCTGTTTCAATGTAATTTTTCTGTGTTTTCTGTGAGCTTAGATATGACAAACTCGTGGTACTTCAAAAGTGAAATATTTGATGCATTTTTTTTTTCTTTCTTCTGTTGACAATATTTGATCTTTAATTTTTGCTTTGTAGATGTGTTATTTATTTATTTACATAATCACTAACAGTGGCTTCAGTTTGAATCTGAGTAAAGAATTTAGAATTCATAAAAGGGGCGGGTGTAGGGGAGGGGGCTGTGTATGATTGGATTGCTTTGCAAAAAATGTTTTGTATAGCTTTTTCAAAATCTGTTTGTGCTCAGTGTTATGTGATGAATGCTGATTTATTCTTATGTTACACAGCATAACGCCCTTCGTGCAATATGTCCAGCCACTGTCAACATGATTATTGCTGTTGTTGGGAACCTTGCTACGCCTCCTGAGCTGAGATATCATGCTCTTCAGTGTTTTGTGCTTATGGCACGAGTACTTCTTAAGTCATCTCCAGACCAGGTAAATATCTATCTGTTTCAGTTGGCTGATCATAAATTGTTTCATATAGTTTTCAGTTCTGTGAATTTTGCATGTCTGAATTGCAGCGACAAATTGAAGTGGGAACAATGGTTCAACTAATTCGTGACCTGTTAATTCGTGAAGTAAAAGAGGGATCTTGGACATCTGACAGTATCCATGCTCTTACCCAAATAGTTTCTGCAGTGAAGGCTCTGTTAGTATGGCCTTTACCTCCAAAAAAAAGTCAAGCTCACAATATTTCCTATTCGCATGCTCAAGCATTGCATGCTCATATGCAACAGCTGCTCTTGGATTGCCAGATTCCAGATGCTCTTATTTTACTTTTGAATGAGTCTGCTGTAAGTATGCTAAATTTGTTGTCTAAGCCTAGTTGATTTATTTTGCCTTAAGTTGTACATATGCACAATAGTAACCATGTAGAAAATGAGTGAGCTTTCTATCATTAACTCTTAAATTGCAGAGTAAAAATATGGAGAAGCAGTCGCTGGCAGTGGAGGTTGTGCGAGTGTTTTCTGCTCTTTTAGCTGGCTCCAACTCTGTTAAAGAGCGGCTACTGAAAACAGATGTGTATACTCGCATAGCAGATGCTTTGCGGTCTTTAGGTGACCCCAAAAGACCACTTCTGCGTGCATTGCTTGCGTTGGCAACAGAGGAAAATGAGTGTCATTCATCAGAATCAGAAAATGTTTTAAAAGTGTGTCACTGATTACTTTTCTTTACTTACTTTCATAACTTAAATTACTGTTAGTGACAAGTTCTTTAAACTCTTGCATTCCAATTTTTAGAATGGCCATGCACTGCTTGTACTGCTCCGATGGCTCCCTGCGGTTCCTGATGTGGATCAAGTATGGCTTGCTGAAAATATTGCTAAACTGTGCAATGCTTCACTTCAAAGGTAAATTTCAAGTTAAATCTCCAATGTGAAATAATTTTCATTGTCCCTGATCTTTAATATAGTGCTGTTTTATTTTGGAGCTGAAGTACAGAGGCTTTTAGTTTGTTGGCATTCAATGACTTGTTCACTTTGAAATGTTCCAGTCGTGTTGTGTGTTCTGCTCATCAAGTTATCCTTGAGATCTGTGCATTGATGGAACAGCATGCATCACTTTCCCGACCAACAGTGGGGGAACTCCTAGGGCTACTCGAAGGGCTTGCTGCTCATTGTATCACTCCACTGGAATTGAAGAGCATATTCCTGCTCTTACGAGAGGGAGATTCAGAGGAGAAGGTGAGAATGCTGCACTTGATTTTAGATGAAAATAAGACTAGTTTCAATATTTTGATTACCATGTTTGCAGTGTCCTTATCAAAGTCAACTACTTCATGCCATCTCTGCGGTTGCCCGTCGTGGAGAGCATAGTGACTGTCATTACTTCTTCAACATCCAGAATGACACAGATGGTCTTTCGGTTCCTGGGATTCGTAAATGGCCAGGTGCAGGCTACGGTTTCAGTTTCCACTGCTGGGTGAAACTTGACAGTGAACCTGACTCGGCAGCTCCAAGCCCAACAAGCCCGGCAAGCCGTGCCACCAGTCCAGGGTCTGCCGCTAGCCCAGCCAGTGGGCGCAGTGGTCTAAGTCCTATGACAGTAAAAACCCCTATAGGAAGTCACCCTTCTAGCCCAGCTTCAAGTCAAACCAGCAGCAGTAGAGTTGGTGTGGAGAACAAGAGACGTCAGCTTTTCAAGTAAATTTGTGCATGAACTTGTTACTTGTATCCTGATTGCAAATGTCCTACCGTCTACAGATCTTTTTGTTGTCTTCAATTTCAGCTTACTCACTAGTAATAATACTGGTGTGGAAATTTTCTTTCGTGCTGATGGCATGCTAGTTGTAGCCATCAGTACCAAGAAAGAGTTCCTTACTGCTACTGTCCCAGACATTCCCCTCACTGACAACCGATGGCACTGCATCGGCGTGTGTATAACTATGGCAAGGTAAAGTTTTAATTCATCAAAATCATGATGTATGTGCACATGTGTTACTCACCCTGCTGTACCTTTCTAGGAGGCCTTTTGGACACAACCAGATTCAGGTTTTTGTGGACGGTACCCAACGTTTGTCAGTCTCCATCAAATTTCCCTCAATGAGTGAGGTAGGCCCAAAGTATTCAATTACTTATTCAATATTTCCCTCTCTTTATTTTTCGAAGAGAAGTTGTAGCTTTGTTTTGTGATTGCCCTTGGCGCAGCCCTTCACGTACTGCACCATCGGGTCGGCGGTGCAGCGCGGTGCTGCCGCCCCCGGGGTGCCGTGGGGAGACGGGCCCGGCGCCTCTCCGCGCCGCTCGCCGGGCGTGCTGGAGCGGGCGGCGGGGGCGGGCGGCGGCCTGCTGCCGTCCCTCATGAACCAGGTGCCCAGCTACCTGTCGCTGCCGCTGCCGCTGCGCGGCTCGGCGCCGCTCGACCCCAACGTCAAGAGCTTCCAGGCCGGGCTGCAGGACGCCGTGTGGGGCTCGGCGGGCTGCCTGCGCGGCCAGCTCGGCACGGCGGCGCTGCTGCAGGACGCGCTCGGGCCCATGCAGGCGCGGCTGCTCTTCCAGCAGGGCCCCAACTGGAGGGGCCTCTTCTCCAGCGAGGAGGGCGCGGACCTGAGCGACCTGGTCAACCGCCTCGTCTTCTGCTTCTCGCCCGCCGCCTGCTGGGACAACCTGTGCCTCGACCTGGCGCCGGGCAACAAGTACGACGGCCACGTGCTGGCGACCCAGTGCTCCACCCTGGGCATCAAGGTAGGTGGGGCCGCCCGGCGGGGCGTCCAGTCCGAGTCACCTGAGGCAGGTTGTGGGGACCGACTTCTCACTCGCCTGCCTGTTTCGCAGACGGCGGTCAACG